TTTTGTTTATGAAATTTAATTTAATTTATGATCTCTAAGATTGGAAGTGTTTACTACCCTGAATATCATAAAATTTTGAGCCATAGTTATCAATACCTGACAGAAACGACAATCTGATTAGTTGGAGCATTGATTGGGGCCTTAGTAGGTCTAGTTTAGAGTGAAAATTGAGTTTGATAGAAAAATTTGTAAAACGAGTATTTGACCTGTTTTGGACAGTTCAACCAACCACTTTGGACTGGTTCAACAAGCCAAACAAAGTGAGAATTTTTTTTCTCTAATATATTACATATTTTTAAACTCGTATTCATATGTTTCTTAATTTTCAAATTCTGACCAAACTAGTTTGACCACCAGTTTGACTGCTTTTGACTGGGCCAGACCCCTCACCATTCGGTGGCCAGTCCGATCCTAATAACAATGGTTTGAGATCGTAGTAAACACCAAGAGATCAACAATCCAATAAAATGCAGTATCCAAATGTAAGGCCACAAATAACTAGGTACCCCAAGAGCATATTGTACACTTAATCCCTTGAGTAAGAGATCCATTTGGGAGTAGTTTCTTGATCTAAAATATTGGACCTCTAGAATCAATAGATGAGTATTATAAAATACCTAATTTTGAGTTTTAGAATGCTTAGGATCTCACCGTCCAAAATACAAATGGCGTCCATACATTTTTAGGGTGCTATTATTTTCATGCACATGAAAGAAAAAGTATAGAATGAGACCATTTACTTTTGCTACAAGGTGGTTACAATTAATCTTGATCATTGGATGTGAAATTGGATGGATGCATTTATCCCATTAACAAAGTTTAAACTTCAAACGACATTTTCTCGAACTTTGTGACGTACCTAAGATGTCAAATTTCACATCATATGATTGTAAGTAATTGTGACCTCCTTATATCAAAGGTAAATGATATGCAATCCTTCTTTTTTTTATAAAAAAAAGGGAAAAAAAAAGAGAAAAAAGAAAATGAGGTTAATCACTTTGGAGAGGCTACATCCCACAATTTTGGGTTGTAAAAATTCTCAGGTAAATACCTGAGCGACCATATCATTGTGGAAGCATACAATCGTTTGATAAAATAATAAGGATAAAGTTTATATGAGGTTGCAGCTTTATACAATTGAAATAAAGTGCACTTTAAAAATATCTAGCAGAAAAGAGTACTTTGCAGTTGGAAAACCTTCTAATTGATCATCTCGACCTCGAAATTTATAGATATAAAGAAAAATAATAATAATTCTTCAAGTCTTAAAAGAGTACATCTTATAACAAGGTATCTAAACCGTCTATTTTCATGATTTTCTAGTATTCACTGCTTGATATGCACAGTTTTTCAAATTTTAAATTTCATAATTAAGATTTTATATAGATTTTCAAGCCATTATAAGGTTTTAAATACCGGAACTAGAGGTTTTTAAGCGCGCCTTAATTTTATAGTATAAAAAACACACTTTGCACAAACCTCACTCAAATAATAAATTCATATGCAAAACAGCACCGCTTCACTTGAATTAAAATATTGAAGTCTTCGGCCTCTTCGGCAAGCAAAGCGAATCCGATAACATTGATGTTTTCTAGACGATTTTCCCCATTATTTCTTTTTTCATGCGCATCCGATAAATCAAAGCATGTTAAATTAGATGATACCGGAATTATGAAATTTGTCCCATGCTGGGGGATATATCTTTTTTTGATCTGTACAATGGAAAGCTCACACTTCTAGAAAGTGGGAAGCATATTGAGATGCTTCTCATAATTTCTCAAGGTTACATACATGAACCAAGTAGCAAAACCACGTTGTATTCTAGAGGAAAGATGCATTATAAAGAGCAACTGTTAAGATTAATAATAGGATCTTTTTGTTAGAGGACAAAGACACTCAAAATTAGTTAATTTATTATTATTATTCAATGTGGTTGCTGTTATTGACATGGTTGAAGACCTTGCTTCCATGTTCTAAGCAGAGGGGATGTGGAGAAAGGACTAAAGTGGGTCAAAGAGGCAGTGTTTAGCCCATCATCACGAACTCTGTCATATACATTGGTAATGTAAAAGGGAAGCTTTATATGTTACCCCAACTACAAATGAATAATATCTGATCCCACTTTTCAACCGTCTCATCTAAATAGGCACACGGCTAAGGTCACTCACATCACGACGTCACACCAAAATAATGTTTCAATGTCTACTTCTTTCA